TTTGTCTCCCGTTACTTACTCTTATTTTCATTTTAGTATTAGTTTTTAGTATTAGTTTTTAGTTAAAGTTTTGTGTTACTCGCAACACATTTAGGTTATTTAAGCGCTGAAGATTAGAGGGGTTACTAGAGTACCCATAAAACTCTAGTACACATAAAAGAAGGAGGTGAGATAAGGACGAGAGACTTTGGATTAAAAAAAAAAACGCAGCAGAAAACCACACTGTTGCGCCCGTCAACCACCCAAGTACTAATGTTTACTTATGTCTTTCACAACTGGAAAACAGTTACACATCCTTTACACCTTCCTTGACTCCAATCATCTGACTACGTCTCTCATACAGATCAAAGAAGTCAAGATCTTTGGTAAAACTGAGGCTCAAACCCCGAACCCGCAATTTCACGATCGATTACGAGTCACTAGGCTACTGACGTCACCAAGTCAATATCTGGTAGGACGGAAGAAGTACTTGGTGGGTGGTTGGCGGGTGCTCTTGTGTGGTTTGCTCCTTCTTTCCTATCAAACATCTATCGCCCTGATCTCTCCTTCTTTTTTTATGTTGTTACTTTCTTGTAACACCTCTAATCTTCGGCACTTATATGACATTATTGTATTGCAAGTGCTGTAAAACTCGTACTAAAACCAACGAAGTGTTTGGGCTGTCTATTTGCTCCATGGTTACCGCCTTGTCAAAGCTGTATTACACTACTAATGTTTTAACATGGAGACATAAAAAGCCATTCTATACAACTTTGACTATGACATTTTATGAAGGCACGCTGCTGACTCAGTTGGTATCATGCTGGGCTTTTGTGAGTCTGACCGAGGTTCCAGTCCCTTATAGAATACTTTTGAACTCACATTCTTCTTGAATATTTTCCACGCTCCCCGTTTGCTTGGTTTTTGGCACATTGGAGATAGATTTGAAATTCAGAAGTTCTCCTTCAGAAATAGCGTTCCCATGTTCCTGAGATGACAGTCGGTACTATGCCACGGGGAAAGGTTTATAAAAATCTTTAGCCCCACGAGAAAGAGTGATTGTAATTATTGCTCACCGACAAAGCAATGTTTGCATTGTATGATCTGCTTGGGCAGACAGAGGGAAAAGATACTGGACAAGATGACAACATGGCTAGGAGCAGCAAGAAAAACAGACACCATTGCTGCAACGCAAGACAGAGAGAAGTGGAGGTCCATGATCGCCCACGCCAGTCGGCAAGGCACCGGATGATGATGATGATCTGCTTGGGAGTTTGACGGGTTTTTTTCTCTTTTTTTTCAGGAAGGAGATAGACTACCTGTATAACGGACACGGCCTCAACATGATGATCCCGGAGTTCTGGGAGAAACTTGTAGACTTTCTCCCGCCAGTAAGATGTTTTTGTTTGCTCTCATAACCCTTTCTCCAGCCACCCCACCCCATATTCATTCATTTTTATTCATTCATTCATTCATTCATTCATTCATTCCTTCATTCGTTCGTTGATTCGTTTGTTCGTTTGTTCGTTTGTTCGTTCGTTCACTCATTCATTCATTTATTTATTCGTTCTTGTATTTTTCTTTAATTAATTAATTAATTAATTAATTAATTAATTAATTAATTAATTAATTTCTTGTTCATTTATTTATTCGCCACATCCACCAGGGAGAACGTAGATCTGTCCTGGACGCCTACTACCGGCGATTGACCTCCAACGACCCGGAAGTGGAAAGGGAGGCGGCGCGGCGTTGGTGCAGGTACGAGATAGCCTCCAGCAGCCTGCTGTGGACGGAAGAAGTGGTCGGTCTCGGGGACAAGGACCCGGACCTGGCCTACCAGTTTGCGCGCTTGGACAGGTGAGGCAAAGCATTAACTGCACACTGATACTTCTTACTTGTTGTTTTAGTATTGCATTCTCTTCTACCTGCTACTACTACTACTACTACTACTACTACTACTACTACTACTACTACTACTACTACCACTACTACTACTACCACTACTACTACTGCTGTTGCTACTACTACTACTACTACTACTACTACTACTACTACTACTGCTGCTGCTACTACTGTTGCCGCTACTACTACTACTACTACTACTACTACTACTACTACGATGACGACACTTTGATTATGTCCAGTTTGTAGTCACGTCTGCTACACGTTGAGGCCCACTCTCCTCCCCTCCCCTCCTTTCCTTTCCCCTTCAGCCCCTAGGTGCCAAAAGGACCAGCGCACCTGATCCTTTCTATTGAGGGGGGGGGGGGGAGTCTGGCGTCTGGATAGAAACGAGGTTGCACATTAGCATGGAATGGATCACTCTATTTAGTGTTTTGAGAAAGACATACGCATTGCCAGAAGTGCAGATAAAATATAACACTACTAAAAAAATTAATTTCAATTACATTTATTTTAAGTTGTCGATATCCATGTTATACAACATGCTATATGCGCTCTACGACAACTAGATGATGTTTAAGCTTTCTTACACTGTTCTTTTTACTCAAACGTTCTGACTTGCTGCTACACCTCAGAGAAAAGACTTGCGTGTGTTTAGAAGGGGCAATGATCTCTATCGATATATATATATATATATATATATATATATATATATATATATATATATATATATATATATATATATATATATCAAGCACGAGACGGATTCTTTCTGTGGCGGCGCTCAGTGTTTCTTACACTATCTCATTAACACCAGTCCTGTTTAACTCTGAAATTATCACCTCTGGCGGTTTGCTGTTTCTACGTCAAACGAGATATTAGGCCAACGTCACCATCTACTGGCAAGAACTGCAAATTTACATGTTTGTACCTTTAATGAACGTCAGTCAGTAAGATCACACAGAAATGTGTTAATAAATGGATATATATATATATATGTGTTAATAAATGGATATATATATATATATATATATATATATACATAGAAAAAAGGTGTTGCGGTAATTTAAAAAACAAGAATAAAATCTGTCTCACGTGTGAAACACAAAAAAGTCGATTTCTTTAATTTAATTTTTTTTATTTTTTGACGAGTGCCTGATTTTACCACGATTCCACATCACGATGTTTTGTTTCTCCCCCAGTCACTACGCTGCGAATGGCTGCTTCTTAAAATGGGACACCCAACTTTTGGACGACGTGGAGAAGATACGTCACATTCCAGCCACGATAGTGCAGGGACGCTACGACATCAACTGCCCGCCAGGATCTGCCTGGGATCTCCATAAGGTATACGGCTCTTGTCACAAGCTGTCGTTCTATAGTGCTGTCCAGAGACCATGGCACAACTTATTGTCAATTAATGTGTAGCGAGCGGAAACAAATTGTTACTTCTCGGATTCGAACCCTATGGAAAAAAGATACATCACGCTTATAGGTTAAGTCTTTACAATTTATAAGTATGAAATAATAAAAGGCATGTTATACTTAAAGAATATATGGCATCAATTGAAAATCTACAAATTTGACCCTAGTGTCGGTTTTTGGCCAATACCTATTGTGGGTTGTGAGAAGTAACTCGTTTTGTCAGCACGCCTCACAAACATCTCCCTAACCACAGACTTTTCAACTTTTGCACAAAGACTTATATCAAATTGTCTTGACTGATGAATATTTGTTAACCATTCTGTGTGCTGTATTCGAGAAAATCCATTTTAATACTAATACAAAATCCCAGTCGATTGTTTCTTCAGATTTTTAAAAGGCTTACATCCTATGAGCTGGGACAATAGCACTTTTTAAAGCAAGTCCGTCCTGCTTCTTCTACTCGCGGCGCTATGCTTATAGAACTCGTGTTTTGAGAACCTACAGTGTAGTTTTTGGTGCAGAACAAAATGTGAGGCAGTGGGGTGGAATCAGGCTCTCGTCAATTTGTGGGCATGTAGAGTTATTGGTATCATCTTAAAGCTTGTTTACTTGTCTTTATATGGATGAAAAGAATATCCATTTATCTTGAATACAGGTCGAAATATTTGCGAAAGAAGAAGGTGGGATTCACCTATTTTTAGAGGTAAAATTAGTGAGAAGATGACCGCCAAAGATTAGTCATTTCCTTAGCTAAAGAGTCTGTGGTACTAAAAATTTACTTTTCTTGTGCCTTTAATCAACGTTTTTCAGAAAATTCCACACATGCATGAGTTCTTTAATGGGTATGAAAAGTGTTGAGCCAAAAAACAAAAATTTGATAAAAATTCCCAAACCAGCGGAAAAATGCAAGTTTCTTCACTTTGATTATTTTGACGAGAGCCTGATTCCACCACGCTGTCTCACATATAAACTTTTTGCCACGTTTCTGCAGCCATAGATGATTACATTCTATTATTGTTCAAACAAAAACACACTGACACCAGCACATCGCTGCTGAATAGAAGTGGTTTACTTTATTCTTCACTCGTTTACCCGTCAGTTATATACTGATACTTTGTATACTTAGAGTTGTTTGTGATAATCTATTTATATTGTTTGAAAAATCGCACATTCACACTGGTATCAAATGAAGCCAAGAATGTGAAAAATCGCACATTCACACTGGTATCAAATGAAGCCAAGAATGACGCAACAAATCAAGTCACCTTCTTATAAAACTAGTTTTAGTAAAGTATGAGCAGATATTCTTTACAACTTCACTTGTCATTTATCAGGAGATCGTAATTGTACGTGGGCTAAAGTGTGGACGGCTCGAGTAACCTAGATCGCGAGATCAGAAACCAAAGGTTCTATTTCTATCTGCCCTGTACAAATCGTAAGATTATTAGGAGTCGTTATCTAGTAGAGCACATTGAAATGTCTTAACGAGCAATATTAGACAACGCTTACCTTGCTTAATTATTTCACAAATGATGCCTGATTCAAATCTAATTTTCATGAAAACTGCTCAACCAGGTTTTTATATTTAACACTAACTTTTCTGGTGATGTAATTTTCGAATGTTTGACTCCGCCACCCCCCCCTCCTCCCCAAACGCCACCGAATTTTAAAAGATCTGCAGTTGGCCTGCTGTTCAAATGAACGAGGGCCAAAAATTTCAGTTCTGTTTATATTGCAGTTTATTAGATCTGTGGTATTCATTACGTGAGCTCGAAGTATAATATTGTGTCAAATTTTAAAATCTAAATTAATAATGTAAAAAGCAAGAAAAGATACATGAAAAAAGTACAGTTGTGCAAAGAATGAACGTCTCTCTCCCCCCCCCTCTCTCTCTCTCTCTCTCTCTCTCTCTCTCTCTCTCTCTCTCTCTCTCTCTCTCTCTCTCTATCTCTCTATCTATCTATCTATCTATCTATCTATCTATCTATCTATCTATCTATCTATCTCTTTCTTTCTCTCGCCATTTGTATCTCCCCCCCCC